TCCTAACCCTCACTCTCACCCTAACCCTACCCCGAACCGTCATTCTAAACATCAACCTCACCCTCAACCTAACCCAAACCCTATACCTAACCCGAACCCTAACCCGAAACCTAACCCTAACCCTCACCCACACCCTCACCCTCACTCTCACCCTCACCCTCACCCTCACCCTAAATCTAACCCTAAACCTCACCCTCACCCTCACCATAACGCTCACCCTAACCCTCACCCTCACACTAACGCTCACCCTAACACTCAAGCTAACACTCACCCTCACCCTCACTCTCACCCTAACCCGAACCGTCACCCTAAACCTCACCCTCACCCTAACTTTCACACTAACCCTCACCCTAACTCCAACCCTAACCATCACCGTCACCCTAAATCTAACCCTAAACCTCACCCTCACCTCTCACCCTAACCCTAACCCTAACCCGAACTCTAACCCGAACCCTAATACCGAACCCTATACCTAACCCTAACCCTAACCCTCACCCTAACCCTAACTCGAACCCTCACCTTAAATCTAACCCTCACCCTCAACCTCACCCTCACCCTAACCCTCACCATCACCCTAACCCTCACTCTCACCCAACCCTAACCCGAACTGTCACCCTAAACCTCACTCGAACCCGAACCCTCACCTCTCACCCTCACCCTCACCCTAACCCTCATCCTAACACTCACCCTAACACTCACCCTCAACCTCACTCTCACCCTAACCCGAACTGTCACCCTAAACCTCAACCTCGCCCTCACCCTAACCCTCACCCTAGCCCTCACCCTAACCCTCACCCACAACCTCACCCTCACCCTATCATTCACACTAACCCTCACCCTAACTCGAACCCTAACCCTCACGCTCACCCTAAATCTAACCCTAAACCTAACCCTCACGCTCACCTCTCACCCCACCCGCACCTTCACCCTAACCCGAACCCGAACCCTAACCCGAAACCGAACCCTAAACCAAACCCTAACCCTAACCCTAACCCTAAATCTAACCCTAAACCTCACCCTCACCCTAACCCTCACTCTCACCATAGCCCTCACCCTCACCCTAACCCTCACCCTCACCCTAAACCTCACCCAAACCCGAACCCTAACCCGAAACCTCACCCTAACCCTAACCTGAACCCTAACCCGAACCCTCACCCTAAATCGAACCCTAAACCTCACCCTCACTTGCTAAAAGTACAATGAGCCTTACCGTCAACTTGTGCAAAAAAGTTACATTGTACAATACTTTGGCTGGTGTCACATGCCAATACAATGACTTTCTTACCCCTCTCTGTTCCATTGATCATCTAAATCAAAAGTATCCCCCTTACGCCTGGCAATCGATTTGTTCAGTGCCAGTATCACAGCCTTGTTCCCCTGGCTGCCAGCCAAGGGCCTTGTGACATCCCAGCCTTTGTGGAAGAGCGTGGGGGCTGAAAATTGTCAACTCATCCCACAGCAGCACGATGCCCAGCCAGGGCATCTCCTGGCTCCTCAGGCTCTCTGTGCTCCTGCTCTTGCCTGGCACACTCGAGCCTTGCAGTCATCACACAGGTGCCATTGCTGATAACCGGGGTTTTCCTTGGACAGAGCCTTGCCATCAAAGGGAGCAGCGGCTGGAGACAGGGCAAAGAGAGGGGGGTCAGGCTGGTGGGATGGTGCTGGCAGGCCGTGAGCCAGAAGCCTGCAAGGCCTGGGGCCAACAGGGTGTCAGGAGACAAGCGGGAGGCCCTCGGGAGGAGGAAAGCTGGGCAGGCCCCAAGGCTCCTGGGCCTCTCCCTTGCCAACCCTTTGCCCAAGGCCCTGAGGCAGAGGTGGGTGTGCGTCTGTTCTTGCAGTTCTGGCAGGTGCTTCTTGTCAGAGATCAAGAAGCTTCTGCAGCTTGTAGACAGATAAGATGCTGAATAGCATCTGGAATTCAGGAGGGAACAGTTTGTGACCTGCTGAGCCACTTGGATCCTCACAAGTCTATGGGACCCGAAGGGATTCAGCCAAGGGCGATGAGGGAGCTGGCGGAAGAGCTTGCCAAGCCGCTCTCCCTCATTTACCAACAATCCTGGCTCACTGGGGAGGTCCCAGCTGATTGGAAGTTGGGGAATGACACGCTGATCCACAAAAAAGGCCAGAAGGAGGACCCGGGAAACTGCAGACCTGTCAGCCTGACCTCAGTGCCTGGCAAGGTTACAGAGCAGATCATCCTGAGTGCAATCACACAGCACCTACAGGATGGACAAGGGATCAGAGCCAGCCAGCAAAGGTTTAGGAAGGGCAGGTCACGTCTGACCAACCTGATCTCCTTTTACGATCAAGTGGTGGATAAGGGGAAGGCTGTAGGTGTGACTTCCTGGACTTCAGCAAGGCCTTGGACACCGTCTCCTATAGCATAAAAAAAGCTGCCGGTCCAGGGCTTGGACAGGTGCACTTTTTGCTGGGTTAAGAACTGCCGGATGGCCGGGCCCAGAGAGTGAGAGTGAACAGGGCTGCATCCAGTTGGTGGCCGGTCACTAGTGGTGTCCCCTAGGGATCAGTGTTGGGCCCAGTTCTGTTTCATATCTTTCTGATGATTTAGATGAGGGAATTGAGTCCACCATTTCCAAATTTGCAGAGGATACCAAGCTTGGGGGGAAGTGTGGATCAGCTGGAAGGCAGGAGGGCTCTGCAGAGGGACCTTGACAGACTGGAGAGTTTGGCTGATTCCAGCGGGATGAGGTTCAACAAGGCCAAGTGCCCAGTCATGCACTTTGGCC